GTGGCCAGGAAGCCCCTTCCTTTGGTCCAGGAGCAGTGGGACGGTGGCTCAGAAGCCCCTACCTCTGGGCTGGGAGCAGCGGGAATCAGTATCATGGTCTGGTAGTTTGGTGTCCTCTGTGTCTTTGTAGTGTGGAACCAGGTGGCTGTACAGAGGAACAGGGGGTGGGGGGTACAGTGGATTGTTGCCGGGGCACGGGCTGATTCGGTGTCTTCCGTGTGACTCGGGACCTTGGTAGGATGTGTGCAGATCTGCCTGTTTGCAGCAGGCTGATTTGGCCTCTCCTTTATTCACACATTAATGTTCAGTTAATCTTTCCTCAGTGATCTTTCATCGATGTTCATTTGTGATTTTAGCTAGGGCCCTTTTTTCTCATGGGCAAGTTAGATCTTATCTTAAAATTAAATGCCAAAAGGAGTGTTGAAGCTGTCACCCTGAAGAAAAGCTACATTCAACCAATGAGACTGTGCACAAATTAAAACTCTATCTAAATTTTGTATTTGAATTTTCAGAGTCGAGTTGTTTCTTTTGGGTGGGGTGTTTTATGTTGTTATTTTTAAATGAGTTTTCCCTATGTAGTGCAGGCTGGCTGTGACCTTGGACTCATCCATCTCCTTCAGCCTGTGGAATATTGGGATGATGGGCTTTCACCACCATACCTGGCTCTATTTGTTGCATTGTTTTCAGTGGTCCTGAGCTTGAAACCAGAGCCTTTCTGCTGACTTACCTCCACATATGTTTTTTTCCTTTCATTATAATTCACTTCAGGTGCCAACAGAGGCTCCGTCCCAGGCTCCGGTCACGTGGGGGCGCTGGCTGCACCTGCGGAGAAGTGGAGGCCACCGAGCGGGATCTGTGTGGAGAGCCAGAAGTGGTTGTGGACTACATCTGTGTTGGTTTTCTGGGGCTCAGCCATGCAGACTGAAGGAGACTGAAGGCCCTCAGATGCCCAGAGCCTGAGGCTGCACAGTGGACTTATTCTTAACAGAGCGGATGCTGGGGGGACCCTGGTGTGGCACCAAATGAAATGAACAAAGTTCCAGAGCCCACAGGCCCCCTGCCCACCCCATCCCCTGGACTCCCACAGCTTGGTTTTCAGCCCCATCTGGCCTTCCCCTCTTGCTGAACTCTGGTCTCTCCCCTCATCCAGTGTTTCCCCTGGGGCAGACTTCACCGGTGGTGTCCAGTATGCCACAAGCAACACAAAAGAACATGCCTTCCCAGCCCCACCAGCACTTCTACCCTAGCTGGGCCAAGCATCCCAGCAGTGCAGCCTCCCGAGTGCAGAGTGCAGCCCCTGCCCGCCCTGGCCCAGCTGCCCATGTCTACCCTGCTGGATCCCAAGTAATGATGATCCCTTCCCAGATCACCCACTCAGCCTCTCAGGGGGCCTACTATATCCCTGGACAGGGGTGTTCCACATATGTTGTCTTGACACAGCAGTACCCTGTGCAGCCAGGAGCCCCAAGCTTCTATCCTGGTGTAAGCCCTACTGAGTTTGGGACCTATGCTGGTGCCTACTACCCAGCCCGAGTTGTACAGCAGTTTCCTGCTGGTGTGGCCTCCACCCCGGTATTGCTGAACCAGCCACCCCAGATTGCTCCTAAGAGGGAACGTAAAACTATCCGAATTCGAGATCCGAACCAAGGAGGGAAAGATATCACAGAGGAGATCATGTCTGGGGCCCGAACTGCCTCCACACTCACCCCTCCCCAGACGGGAGGTGGTCTGGAGCCTCAAGCTAATGGGAAGAAGCCCCAGGTTGCTGTCGTTGTCCGGCCAGATGACCAGGCTCAGGGAGTGCTTGTTGGGAGCCGGTCAGGATTGCCAGGCCCAGAGCACAGCCCTTCAGAGTCCCAGCCTTTATCACCATCTCCAACCCCATCACCATCCCCAATCTTGGAACCAGGGTCTGAGACTAATCTTGGAGTCCTCTCTCTTCCTGGGGACACTATGCCAACTGGGATGATACAAATGTCTGTAGAAGAATCAACTCCCATCTCCCACGAAACTGAGGAGCCATACTGCCTCTCTCCAGAACCCACTCCTCTTGCCGTACCCATACTGGAAGTAGAAGTGACACTTGGCAAACCAATTCCAGAATCCGAGTTCTCTTCCAGTGGGCTCCAGATTCCTGCTCCCCTGGAATCTCACAAGGTAGAAGTTCCCGAGGCTAACGGCATAGTACCATCTGAGGAGCTGGAGCCAGAGGTGGAGTCAAGCCCAGAGGTTGCCCCTGTTCTGCCTGTGGCTTGCCCTTCAGAATCCCCTGAGCCCATTGCTCCAATTGCCCAACCTGAGGAAGTGCTCAACAGAGCCCCCTCACCACCAGCTGTGGACTTGAGCCCAGTCAGTGAGCCAGAGGAGCAGGCTAAAGAGGTTACTGTGTCAGTGGCTTCCTCTGCCATCCTCTCTGCCACTCCACCTGCAACTCCTCCAGCTCCTTCTCCTCCTCAGGAGGAGGAAATGGAAGAAGAAGAGGAAGAGGAGGAGGAAGAGGAAGAAGGAAGAGAAGCTGAAGCTGAGAATGAGAAGGGTGGAGAGGATCTCTCTTCAGAGAGCACACCTGTCCCAGCCCATTTGTCCCTCCCCCCTTCGGAGGTGGCAGCAGCCACCCAAGTGGCAGTATCTGTGCCAAAGAGGAGATGGAAAATTAAGAAGCTAAATAAGAAGGAGGCTGTGGGAGACCTCCTAGATGCCTTCAAAGAGACAAACCCAGCAGTACCAGAGGCAGAGAATCAGCCTCCCATAGGCAACAACTCAGGCCCAGAGTCTGAGGGCACCAGTGTGGCCCCACGGCCTGAGGAAGCAGAGGAGACCTGGGACTCCAAAGAGGACAAAATCCAGAATGCTGAGAACATTCAGCCTGGGGAACAGAAGTACGGCTATAAGTCAGATCAGTGGAAGCCACTAAACCTGGAGGAGAAAAAGCGTTACGACCGAGAGTTCCTGCTTGGCTTTCAGTTCATCTTTGCCAGTATGCAGAAGCCAGAAGGGTTGCCCCATATCACTGGCGTGGTGCTGGACAAAGCCAATAAGACACCGTTGTGGCCACTGGATCCCTCAAGACTACCTGGCATAAACTGTGGTCCAGACTTCACCCCATCCTTTGCCAACCTTGGCCAACCAGCCCTTAGCATTCTTGGGCCCCTGAGGGGTGGGCCAGGTGGGGAGCTGCCCCGAGGGCTGCAGGCTGGCTTAGGACCCAGGCGCTCTCTGAAGGACCCCCGAAAAGAACCACACAAGATCATTGCCACAGTGTTAATGACTGAAGATATAAAACTGAATAAAGCAGAGAAGGCTTGGAAACCAAGCAGCAAGCAGACAGCGGCTGATAAGGAACGAGGAGAAGAGGATGCTGATGGCACCAAGACCCAGGACCTACTCCGCAGGGTGCGCTGCATCCTGAATAAGCTCACACCCCAGATGTTCCAGCAGCTGATGAAGCAAGTGACACAGCTGGCCATTGACACTGAGGAATGCCTGAAAGGAGTCATTGACCTCATCTTCGAGAAGGCCATTTCAGAGCCCAACTTCTCTGTGGCCTACGCCAACATGTGCCGCTGCCTGATGGAGCTGAATGTGCCCACTAGAAAAAAGCCAACGGTGACTCTTAACTTCCGAAAACTGTTGTTGAATAGATGTCAGAAGGAATTTGAGAAAGACAAAGATGATGATGAAGTTTTTGAGAAAAAGCAAAAAGAAATGGATGAAGCTGCTACAGCAGAGGAGCGGGGCCACCTGAAGGAGGAGTTAGAAGAGGCTCGGGACACGGCCCGAAGGCGCTCTTTAGGGAACATCAAGTTTATCGGCGAGTTATTCAAGCTCAAGATGTTAACCGAGGCGATTATGCATGACTGCATAGTCAAACTACTAAAGAACCAAGATGAGTCCCTGGAATGCCTCTGCCGCCTGCTCACCACCATTGGCAAAGACCTGGATTTTGCAAAAGCCAAGCCACGAATGGATCAGTATTTCTACCAGATGGAAAAAATCATTAAAGAAAAGAAGACGTCATCTCGCATCCGCTTTATGCTGCAGGGTGTGCTGGATCTGCGACAGAGCAATTGGGTACCACGCCATGGAGATCAGGGTCCCAAGACCATTGATCAGATCCACAAGGAGGCCGAGATGGAGGAGCATCACGAACATATCAAAGTGCAGCAGGTCATGGCCAAGGGCAGCGACAAGCATCGGGGAGGCCCTCCAGGCTCACCCCTTAGTCGTGGCCTCCCACTTGTGGACGATGGTGGCTGGAACACAGTCCCCATCAGCAAAGGCAGCCGCCCCATTGACACCTCACGACTCACCAAGATCACAAAGCCTGGCTCCATTGATTCCAACAATCAGCTCTTTGCACCAGGAGGGCGACTGAGCTGGGGCAAAGGTAGCAGTGGGGGCTCAGGAGCCAAGCTCTCCGAGGCAGCATCAGAACCTGCTCGTCCAGCTACTAGTACCTTGAATCGCTTCTCAGTTCTTCAACAGGCAGTACCTACAGAGAGCACAGATAACAGACATGTGGTGCAGAGGAGTAGCTTGAGCCGGGAACGAAGTGAGAAAGCTGGGGACCGGAAAGACCGAGTAGAGTGGAGCGAACAGAGTGGTGACTATGGGGACCGATCAGATCGTGCACGGACACCTGCCACCAAGCAAAGCTTTAGCAGAGAAGTGGAAGAGTGGAGTAGAGAGCAGCCTTCCCAGCCTGAGGGACTGTGCAAGGCCTGGAGCCTCAGGGAAGATCGTGACCGGGGCCGGGACACTGTAAAGCAGGAAGCCACCCTCCCCACAGTGAGCCCCCTGAAGGCTGAACTCTCTGAGGAGGAGCTGGAGAAGAAGTCCAAGGCCATCATTGAGGAGTATCTCCATCTCCACGACATGAAGGAAGCAGTGCAGTGTGTACAGGAGCTGGCCTCGCCCTCCCTGCTCTTTATCTTTGTGCGGCATGGCATTGAGTCCACACTGGAGCGCAGCAACATCGCTCGAGAGCACATGGGGAAGCTGCTCCACAGGCTGCTGTGTGCTGGGCACCTCTCCACCGCCCAGTACTACCAAGGGCTGTACAAAATCCTGGAAGTGGCGGAGGACATGGAGATTGACATCCCCCATGTGTGGCTTTATCTGGCAGAACTGGTAACACCCATTCTGCAGGAAGGTGGGCTGGCCATGGGAGAACTATTCAGGGAGATTACAAAGCCTCTGAGACCTTTGGGCAAAGCTACTTCCCTCTTATTGGAGATCCTGGGGCTTCTATGCAAAACCATGGGTCCCAAAAAGGTGGGGATGCTCTGGCGAGAGGCTGAACTCAGCTGGAAGGAGTTTCTACCTGACGGCCAAGATGGTGATGCATTCGTTGCTGAACAGAAGTACCTGTGTGATGAACAGAAGGAGCTACCAGCGCTCTACGCCCTCCAGGCCCTTGTGGTGACCTTAGAGCAGCCTCCCAACCTGTTTCGGATGTTCTTCGATGCGCTGCATGATGAAGACGTGGTGAAGGAGTAAGCATTCTACAGCTGGGAGAGCAGCAAGGACCCCGCTGAGCAGCTGGGCAAGGGTGTGGCCCTTAAATCTGTCACAACCTTCTGCAACTGGCTTCGGGAGGCTGAGGAGGAGGAGTAGGACTACAACTGAGGGAGGGTGGGGCTGGGGACATGAGCCCCATGGACACCAATGGCCCGACCAGCCACCTGGACTGCAGGGGGCGGGAGCGGTGGTGGCAGCAGGTGACTGTAGTGTGATGAGTCTGAGCTAATAAAGTGGCTGAAGAGGCAGGATGGCTTGGGGCTGCCTGGGGCCCCCTCCAGGATGCTGCCAGGTTACCCACTCCTTCCCTGGGGGCACAGAGATGTATTATATATAAAGTCTTGAAATTTGGTGTGTCTTGAGGGGATCACCAAGCCCTGCCCCTGAGGTCCTTTTTTATTTTCTGAAAATCACTCTTGGAAAAGGGGTCCTCACTGCTGGGGGCATATGCCCCAGCCCCTGCACCACCCCTGTTGCTGCCTGGACAGGGGGAGGGGGGGCACGGGGCCTGTAATTATTAAACATGAACTCAATTAAAAAAAAAAGAATTCACTTCAGAGAATTTTTGCTAAGACACTAAATGGTACAGGTTGGGCTTGATATTGGAATTCCTTTGACTCTGCTTCCTAGAGTGCTGAGAGGAAAAACTTCTACCATGCCCACGTCTCTACAGTATTTTTAAGGGGGAGACTTGTTTTGATCTATTTTCTCCCACACACTCAATCACAAAGTGGTAGGTTGACATACATGGAAGAGTTTTAACAACCTACACCAGAGTTAGCATTTTCCATCTCTAACTTCAACATGCTCTAGAACAATGTTACATGGCTTTTGCAGTAACGGCTTACTGCACTTCCTAAAATGAAAATGAAATCCACTTTGCAGAGTCTCCCTAATATCTCCTGGGTGGCCTCATGGGTGAAATGGAGATGGTAAGGTGCTTGGGCCATAAGACTCTTCCTTTGCTATTATTCTAAGGCCCTGGAGCAAAGACCAGAAACTCCCAAACAAGAAGGGGCTGAGATGTTACAAAGCACAGAGCCCACTTGCCACAGGGACTGGAATGCCAAGCACTAGTGGTTTCAAGTGGATGGGGTGGTGGTGTCATGGTGCCAACAGTGTCAGAGGTGTGGTTTTTGGCCACCTAAGTCAAAAATTGGGGTAAACTGAGAAGGCTCCATTTATAGCTAGACCGGGGGTCATAACAATGATTTGGTCTTCATGGATCAGAAGGGGGCTCATGAGCTTGGCCTGACTGGATGCCCCTTCCTGGATGTGACCCCACATTCTTCTCCTTGCAGGTTTTTCAGGATGACTACACAGAGCCCACTGACTCTGTATGAGCTGACCAAGAAGAGCCTGCTGAACAGTGAGACTATAGCCAGCACTGCTCTGCATGACCTGCCCTCCATGATCTTCCATGTAATTTTCATGGAGGCCTTTATGGGGGAACACAATGAGGTCCTAAAGGTAATGGTGCAGACCTGGCCTTTCCCCTGCCTCCCTTTGAGGACCCTGATGACTCTGAGGAAACCAAAGACCCCACACCCTCAGTTTGGAGAAATCACACTGCAACAGAGAAACCTACGGACCTTGCAAGCCCTACTGGATGGAATTGACATTCAGCTGTCCCAGAAGGCTCACCACTGGTGAGGGTGATACATAGATACTGGAATGAGGGTTCTGGGAGCCCAGGGAAAGGAGAGTTGGTATTCAGGACATGGGAGATGGAAGTATAAGCTTTGATATTTCAGATTTTTGGCCTACAGAGTTCACCTACTGGGATGGGGTTTCCTGAAGAGAAAGCTGCATGTGGGGAACTCAGGAGGAACCTGAACCTGCCTCCTCTCAGAGGGACTAGGAGTCAAAGCCCACTGCACTGAATGGTTACAAGGATAGAAACTGGAAGGCAGGAAAAGTAGGGGTTCCCTGAATGTCCAGAGAGTGAAAGACATGCACAGGTAGGAAATTGGGTCTTTACCTGAATTCTCAGACTGCTTCCTGGTGGAGACTGCAGGTGTTGGATTGGAGGGATGTACACCGGGACTTCTGGACTGTAGGGCCCAGAGCCATGAGGGCTGTCCACCTAGAAGATGCCAGCAGAAAGGATGCAGGCAATCCTGGGTTGAGGGAGAAGAAGCTGACCTCGACAATATTTGCGCACGTTTGCTTTGAAGCCTGGATTAGGTCTTTTGCCACCGTGATGAATTACAACTCTGTCTCTTGAAGTGGGCCAGGAAGAGAAAAGCTTCAGTACACCTGAGCTCTGAGAAGGTGATGATCAAGTCCGATGCTGTCTTTAAAATCCTGAAGCTTCTTCGTGCTGTGCAACTGGACTCTATCCAGGAGCTGGACGTGTTCAGCGACTGGACTCGGGAAAGCATGAAAGCATTTGTTCCTCACCTCAAGAAGATGACGAACCTTCACACATTTCACTTCAGTAGCCTGAGCCCAGAAGTGTTTACTTCAGCCTCAAAAAACAAGTGGCACTCCCGCATCTACGCTTTTCACTTAGGACAGATGCAAGGTCTCCGGGAGCTGCATATAGATGACGTCTTCTTTCTGGAAGGAACTCTGCACAAAATCTTCAGGTGAGTGGGTGGTGAGGTTACCTGCACATTCAAGGGGACAGTGAATATGAAGAGGGGATCTGTGTGTCAAGCTGGTGGTAGAATGGGAGATCCTAGGAAGTGAGATGTCTGGACCATGGAAGTGCCATGTCTTGACCATGGCAAGGTCTCCCATGTCCCGTGCTAACTCATGTGAAGGTAGGGAATAATCTGGGACTGGCGGTCTGCAACCAGTCCTGTGCTCAGCAAACCAGGAGTGTACGAGGGGACATAAGGAGGGGAGCTGTGATTTCTTCCTTTGGAAGCATGTGTAGGTTAAATTGCCCAGAAGAGGAGCATGAAAGGAGGGCCAGCTCTCACACCTGCTCATTGAACAGAAGACTAAGGTTAGTAGGTCTTAAAGGGAGCAAGCCCTTTTCTATATCCAACTTTCAGAAAAGCTTCTGGGTGTTGCCTTATATTTTGTCACACAATATAATACCTCACACCTGAAAGTTAAAGGAGCAAATTTTCTTTTAGCTCAGTTTACAAAGATTTGGATCCATAGTTATCTGACTTCAAGACCCGGCACAGAAGAACAAGTCCATAGCAGGGTCCATGGAAAGCAGCCAGCCTGCCTTCCTTCTATCCATTTAGATTCCATCCAGGCTACAATTCTGTTCCTTGTTGCCATCCACACCCAGCAGAGAGGAAAGAGGGCAGTGTTTCCCTCTTCATGAATTCCATCACCTTCAGCCGTGCTAAACCAATCATTAGACCAATCCAGATACCACACCCATGATCTGACCAATTTCCCATATCCCCACTGCAGAGGGCTCAAGGCTTTGGAGGACATCTAGACAGAAGCCATAACTTGTTCCAGGCAGGGCAATGAGCACATGGGATGGGCAGGAGTCTGGAGCTCAGGGTGAGGAGCAAGAGTGCAGGGCTGAGAACAGGGACACAGGCTTTGCTCAGGACACAGGGCCAACTCCAGGCCAAGTGGATAATCTTGCCCGGCTTCCTTCTTTCTGCGTGTGCCCCCCCTGGCCTCCTCTGGACAGAGCTGAGCTTTTTTCTTGGCAATGAGCACAGAGGACTGTAGAGAACTGGGACTGAGCCAATTACACACGTGATGGTGAGTTAACTGAACAGTGCCTTCAACACACAGCATCTGGGTGATGATCATCAGATGGTGAAGGCAAGCTAAGCCCCAATCTGACTCTGCTACCTTCAGGTCATTTCATCATGCACCCCACTCATCATGGCAATTTATACCAAACAACTTTTCTCTCTCTCTCTCTCTACAGGAGCCAGACCCCCTTGGAGGCCCTCTCCTTGAGTTCAAGTCCACTGAAGGAGTCTGACCTAAAGCATCTGGCCCACTGTAAAAGGACAAGCCAGCTGAAGTCCCTGAGTCTTAGGAAGTTCTCAATGAAGTCATTCAGCCTGGAGACACTCTAGGCTCTGCTGGACAAACTGGCCTGCACCCTGGAGACCTTGGTCCTAGAGAACTGTGACATCAGAGACGCCCAGTTCCTTGCCATCTTGCCTCCCCTGAGCATCAAGACATTCAGTTGATCTGATAACCCCATTTCCCTAGGCATCCTTCAGGTCCTGCTGCATGAGTGTAGTGCACTGAGCCAGTTAACCCAGGGGGTGTATCCTGCCCCCCTGGAGAGCTATGAGTCCAAGATTCCTACAGAGTTTGTGCACCCTGAGAAATTTCACCAGGTCTGTGCTAAATTGGCACCAGTACTGATGGACATAAGGCCATCCCTTCTGGTTCAGATCTGTACCTACTCCTGTGATTGGTGCATGTTGTGCCAATTTTATACGCTGGAGCCCAGTGGGAACTGGGAAATCACAGAGGAGTATCGGCTATCGAAGTTGGTTTAGATGTGACAGTTGTGTGAATCCCCTGCTTGGTGACTGTATCTTTCTTCTGTAGAGGTCTCCTCAAAGCCTCCTGTGCCCACAGGTAGGCCTTTCAGAAGTGACTGGATCATGGGTGCATGATCCTCATCAGCGGACTTCTCTACTGAGTCTACAGCTCAGTGTGATGCAGGGAAATGAGGTGAGGTCAGAGGAGGTGGGTCACTGGAGGTGTGGCCTAGAAGGCTCCATCTCTCACCCTCCTGTGTATATCTCCCTCTGCCTTGCCAACCTATGAACTGAACTATAAGAGCAAGTAAACCTTTCCTCTTTAAAATTGTGAGGGTTGTCTAGAGTGTATCATTGATGATGGAATAGTGAATTCACACGCATGTATCTGAAGTTATTGTTGCATAGATTGTCAAGGAATGAGCATAAAGGGACTCTTGGCAAGTAAGGTAGAACACGTCCAGTGGCTGGACACTTTGGTGGCTGAGGGTCCCCTTAAGTTTGAGGGCCAGCCTGAGCTACATTGTGAGACTATCTCCCAAAAAGATTAAATACAGAAATAAATAAATCCTCAATATAAAATCTTTTATGGTGACTCAGTGACTTGCTTTTCCATGATATTTATGCCTTCATTATTTTTGGTTTCTTTCTACTTGTATGTTTCCCATGCATAAT